AAGTATTTATTTGTCATAAATATTTATCCCTAATAGGAAAAGAACAACAAAATATATTGAAATCATAAATTTTATAAATACTCTAGTTGGACTAAAGCCAATTGTTTTAACCCATAAATTAAACACTTATAAAGAAAAAAACTAAAAAAGGGGTCCTGCTGCTATCTGCTGTTAAGGCAAAAAAAGTTGTTGTTTTTTGCTGAAACTTCAATTAGTTGATTTTTATACTCTGCTGCTGGTTTTTTCTTCCTTCTTTTTAAGTTTTTTTTTGTTCAAAGTTTTAATTTATCTTAAAATGTCATGAATGTTTCTTGTTTGTTTTAATGTTGACATTCATATAAAAAAGCAAAAAATACAAAAATAATAATTAATTGTTATCATATGCTTGTTGTTATTTTTTCAGCTTTTAATATTTTCAATCTTTTTTTCAAGTCTTATTTTGTATGTCATGTTCATATTTGTAAGATAAATATTAAAAAAGAAAAACATACATATATTTTAATAAAAATTTTAAATAATAAACATAAATTATTTCTTAGTTTAACATACAAATGTATGATTTAGTTTTCGTAAGAACTTTATTATAGAGCTTTTTGTAACCGCAAGTTTGCTGTTTGGAAATAAGAAAAATATTCCATTTTAAATTTCTTATCACAATGACTTATCTTAGAAAACTTTTTACAAACTAACAGAAAATACACACAAAACTATTAAACAGTACTTGTCATTAATTTAGATTCTAACTTACTTAAAGAATTTAGTAAAAAAAAGCTCTCAAAAAGCTTTTGCTATAAATCTTCGAAATTTTGTTTATATATATTTTTTTTATAATTCAATTCAGTCAAAAACTTATTTAAAGTTCAAAATAAAGAATTTTCCTAAAGCTTCTAGTTTTTGTTTGTAAAAGCTCTGTAAAAGCTTTTGTATTGAAACTATTGAAATTGTAAGCAAAATGTATTTTTCTTCCTATAGTCAACAATATAACTTATTTCTTGTTATTGGAAAACATTTTTCAAAAAGCTTTAGAAAATTTCTCTCAAAGCTTTTACAAAACTTTTGCAAAAACATGTTAAGTAAACTTTTATGAGAATTGCAATAACATAATTTCAATTTTCTATGAATTTTCGTATAAAATATAGATATTTTTGTAAAAGCTCTAAAAAAGCTTTTGCTATAAATCTTAAAAATTTTGTTTAAATTATATATTTTTATAATTTAATTCAGTAAAAAACTTATTTAAAATTCAAAATAAAGAATTTTCCTAAAGCTTCTAGTTTTCTTTGTAAAAGCTCTGTAAAAGCTTTTGTATAAAATCTTTAAAATAGTAAGAAAAATGTATTTTTTTATGAAAATCCCAATAAAATAATTTCCATTAACTTTGAATTTTGGTATAAAATATCTCAAAAAGCTTTTTTAAAAAAGCTCTCAAAAAGCTTTTGCCATAAATCTTCGAAATTTTGTTTAAATTTTATTTTTTATGATTTAATTAAAAAAATAACTTATTTAAAGCTTTGGAAAAAGTTTTATTCTTAATTTGCCAGATTTTTGTAAAAGCTCTATAAAAGCTTTTGTATGCAAATTTTAAAACCGTAAACAAATTGTATTTCTCTTTATAGAGTCAATAAAATAACTTATTTCTTGTTAGTAGAAAGAAATTTTTCTAAAAGATTTAGAAAATTTTACTAAAAGCTTTTACAATTTTACTAAAAGCTTTTGAAAAAACATGTTAAATAAAATTTTATGAAAAATCTATTAAAATAATTTCGATTATCCATGAGTTTTGGCATAAAAAGCTGTGAAAAAGCTTTCATTTGAAAATGCTTTTCTCAGGCAAAAATGACTGTTTTTAGTAAATTTCTAAAAGAAATGAAATTTTTAGTAAATTTTGAACTTCTAATAAAGATTTTTCCTTAAACTTCCATTTTTTTTTGCAAAAGCTCTGAAAAAGCTTTCATTTGAAAAAGCTTTTATTACGAAAAAATTACTATTTTTAGTAAATTTTGAGCTTCTAATAAAGATTTTTCCTTAAACTTACAATTTTTGGTAAAAGCTCTGAAAAAGCTTTTATAATAAATCTTAAATAACTTTTTTCCAAAATGTACATAACATTATAACTTACTGGGTGTAAGTAGTAAACATTTTCCTGAAAGCTTTAGAAAATTTCACTAAAAGCTTTTACAAAGCTTTCGCACAAACGTGTTAAATAAACTTTTCTTAAAAATCTAATTTATAATTAGCACTTATGTATCAATTTTAGCATAAAATATCAGTGGTTTTGTTAAAGCTCTAAAAAGCTTTTATTTTGCATTTTGCTTATTTTTGTAATTTACTCAAATTCTATTCTATTTCTTCTTTTAACAATTGTGCATATGTCATTAATTGCTCAATTTATATTAAAATTTATTTAGGAAAACGCATTACAACCGCCAACAAAAAAGAACAATTATATATAATAAATAATTATAGAAATTTAGGTCATATCCGTTGTGGGTTGCTGCAGCAAACATTCTATTAAAATCTGATTATTATAAAAACCTAAACAAATAATAAATATGCGTTTTTATTAAATGTTTAAATGAAAAATATTCAAAATTTTAACATCACGTTCTGACACATGTCCGTAGCAGCAGGGCAACCCAACAATAAGCTTTTTAAAGCCGTTACGTTTAACCGGCTACAGACAAAAACGTATTTATTTATATGTATTTCATGTTTGTCTGAGTGGCTTTTAATTCATAAATAATTAACGTTTTTTAAGCATTTTAAATTATTTCCTTAAACCAAACTTAACTAAAAATATATTTAAAAAAACATGGAGAACCTACGCTATTTTTATATATTTTTTTAAATGATAATAAGACCTGCTGATTTAAAAATAAAAAAAAACAAGAAATTTACAAGCAAAACGTTGTAAAAACATGTGCAACTAAAAATAGCCAAGAAGTATAATACGTTTGTTAAAATTACAATGGTCTTGTATGTCTTTTATTGAATTGTAAACTAAAACCGGCAGCAGCAGCTGAGCAATGAACCAAGTCTGAATTGTATGAAAAAATGTGTTAAACTGCCATAAGAATAACCACACATTATTACACGTGTTAAAGACCTTAATATAGTGCTTTAGTATTTCAATATTGACTGGTGTCTCGTTATTGAAAACAATACGAAACATTTTTGCAAAACTAAAGGTTTAACTAAAAGCTTTAAGAGATTCTTAGCAATTAAATAACAATGAAGAAATTGAGTGCAAGGGTTTGTTTTCATTAAGTTTTCTTTGTTTAATGGTAGTTTGCAGGGCTATCGGACAGACTTAATTGGATAAATTTTGTATTAAAAATTTAATTGAAATAAAATTTTGCCTTCAAACGGTCTATAGTCTATACAATAATCAATAGACTGGACTATAGAATAGTCTAAAGTCTACACTATAGAATAGTCTATAGTCCGGACTGTAGAATAGTCTATACACTGGACAATAGAATAGTCTATACTCGGGACTATAGAATAGTCTATAGCCTTTACTATAGAAAAGTCTATAGTCTGGACTATAGAATAGTCTATAGTCTGGACTATAGAATCGTCTATAGAATAGTCTATAGTCTGGACCATAGAATAGTCTATAGTCTGGACCATAGAATAGTCTAAAGTCTGGAATATAGAATAGTCTATAGTCGGAACTATAGAACAGTCTATAGTCGGGACTATAGAATAGTCTATAGTCGGGATTATATTATAATCTATAGTCGGGACTATAGAATAGTCTATAGTCTGGACTATAGAATAGTCTATAGTCTGGACTATAGAATCGTCTATAGAATAGTCTATAGTCTGGACCATAGAATAGTCTATAGTCTGGACCATAGAATAGTCTATAGTCTGGAATATAGAATAGTCTATAGTCGGAACTATAGAATAGTCTATAGTCGGGACTACAGAATAGTCTATAGTCGGGATTATATTATAATCTATAGCCGCGACTATAGAATAGTCGGGACTATAGTATAGTCTATAGTCGGGACTATAGAATAGTCTATAGTCGGGACTATAGAATAGTCTATAGTCGGGACTATAGAATAGCCTATAGTCTGGACTATAGAATAGTCTATAGTATGGACTATAGAATAGCCTTTACTATAGTCTGGACCATAGAATAGTCTATAGTCTGGACCATAGAATAGTCTATAGTCTGGAATATAGAATAGTCTATAGTCGGAACTATAGAACAGTCTATAGTCTGGACTACAGATAGTCTATAGTCTGGACTATAGATGGTCTATAGTCTGGACTATAGATAGTCTATAGTCTGGACTACAGAATAGTCTATAGTCTGGACTATAGAATAGTCTATAGTCTGGACTAGAGAATAGTCTATAGTCTGGACTAGAGAATAGTCTATAGTCTGGACTAGAGAATAGTCTATAGTCTGGACTAGAGAATAGTCTATAGTCTGGACTAGAGAATAGTCTATAATCTGGACTATAGAATAGTCTATAGTCTGGACTATAGAATAGTCTATAGTATGAACAATAGAATAGTCTATAGTCTGGACTATAGAATAACATATAGTCTGGACTATAGAACAATCTATAGTCTGAACTATAAAACAACCTATAGTCTGACTATAGAACAATCTATAGTCTGGACTATAGAACAATTTATAGTCTACACTATAGAACAATCTATAGTCTGGACTATAGAACAATCTATAGACTGGACTATAGAACAATCTATAGACTGGATAGATTATAGTTTGGACTATGGAATAGTCTATACTCTGGATTATAGAATAGCCTATAGTCTGGTCTATAGAACAGTCTATAGTATGGACTATAGAATAGTCTATGGTCTGGACTATAAATGGAATGGAATAGTCTGTACTATAAATATAATAGTCCCTACTCTGGTAAATAGCATAGTGTAGCCTATATAGTCCCGCGATTTTATTTAAAAGTTGTTACCAATTTGTGTAACTTTGTTTTAAAAATTTGTTAATAACTTACCTAATTAACAAGCATAACTAATGCCTCCATTAACAGCAAAATCCGCAACTAAAAAATAAAAAAAAAAAATACAAATTTAATTACAAAAGTTTAATACAAAAATTGCTTAATAATTATTAATTAAAAAAAAATTTTTGCAAAGCAACGCCCAACCCTGACCTTTAAAAAGCTTAAACAACAATAACAGCAAAAGTTTATGAGTTGGTTCCTGTTCAAAACAATTTGTTGTATATATTTATTACTCTACAAAAGAAATTTTTGTATGGAATAAAATTTACATTCATAAGAAAGTCAAAAGGCGAGAAAAACAAACTTAATAAAAATTATTAATTAATCAAAGCAATCAAGAAAATAAAATGGGTACGAGGAGGGGTTACTAATACTAAATATTAATAAAAACATTAAAGCAAAATATTTTGTTAGAGTAAATAAAAAATAAAAAAAAAACTATATTAAAACTATTATTGATTTTCTAATATGGTGTTGAATTTAATTAGTAGAGCTATTGTTGTTGCCAGCTAGCTGGCTACAGCAAATGATTTGTTGATGATAGTGGGCTAATACAAACAGCTAGCAACAACAACCACAAGTCATTTACTTAAATTACCCGGCTAAAATAGGATACAAATATACACATGGCTAATACCAAAAACAAATACAATAGGAACCATTAGAAAAAATATATGGATTTTAAAACCAACAACAAGCAAAACAAAAAATGTTGTTGAAGTAGAAACATGTGTAATTTAGACATTTAGTCAGTGGTGAGCCCGACAGTCAAATCAGCACATGCTAAAAATATTACCATTTAAAACCGCACACAATATCAGATCTGATAGCACAACTACTATTATGTCTTTTTAAAACTCACATACACAACACATGTCGTCAGTTTTTTTTAGTAGTTTTATTTGTTTAAAATAAATTTGAAATGAAATACGATTTATTATAAAAACGTGATTAATTTTTTTCGGGGTTGTCGATTTTTTTTGCTTATTCACTTAATGAAATTGTGTCGAAAGTTCAAACAGATTGAAAGCGTTAAGCGACAACTAAACAATTTAGTTTGGACCATGGAATAAACTACAGTCTGGACCATAGAATAAACTAAAATCTGGACTATAGAATAGTCTATAGTCTGGACTATAGAATAGTCTATAGTCTTGGACTATAGAATAGTCTATAGTCTTGGACTATAGAATAGTCTATAGTCTGGACTATAGAATAGTCTATAGTCTGGACTATAGAATAGTCTGTAGTTAGGACTATAGAATAGTCTGTAGTTAGGACTATAGAATAGTCTATTGCCTGGACTATAGCATAGTCTATAGTCTGGACTATAGAATAGTCTATAGTCTGGACTATAGAATAGTCTATAGTCTGGACTATAGAATAGTCTATAGTCTGGACTATAGCATAGCCTATAGTCTGGACTATAGAATAGTCTATAGTCTGGACTATAGAATAGTCTATATTATGGACTATAGAATAGTCTATAGTCTGGACTATAGAATAGTCTGGACTGTAGAATAGTCTATAGTCTGGACTATAGAATAGTCTGGACTGTAGAATAGTCTATAGTCTGGACTATAGAATAGGCTATAGTCTGGACTATAGAATAGTCTATAGTCTGGACTATGGAATAGTCTATAGTCTGGACTATAGAATAGTCTATAGTCTGGACTATAGAATAGTCTATAGTCTGGACTATAGAATAGTCTATAGTGTGGACTATAGAATAGTCTATAGTGTGGACTATTGAACAGTCTATAGTGTGGACTATAGAATAGTCTATAGGCTGGAATATAGAATGGTCTGTTGCTGGACTATAGAATAGTCTATAGGCTGGACTATAGAATAGTACATAGTCTGGACTATAGAATAGTCTATAGTGTGGACTATAGAATAGTCTATATTGTGGACTATAGAATATTCTATAGTGTGGACTATATAATAGTCTATAGTGTGGACTATAGAATAGTCTATAGTGTGGACTATAGAATAGTCTATAGTGTGGACTATAGAATAGTCTATAGTTTGGACTATAGAATAGTCTATAGTCTGGACTTTGTCGCCAAACGCTCTAGCCGGGTGTATGTGTTTGGCCTCCTCACTATAATAACAATTACGCCTCTTTTTTTTGTTGTTGTTGCTTATTTCTAATTAAATTTAAATTGTAAGGGTGTTTGCTTTCAAGACATTTAATACAAATGATTTATTTTTATTTCATTCAAACAAATTTTTTTATTTAATTTGTTTATTTTTATACCTACAAATGAATACAACAAGTAAATTAAACAAATAAGTGCGTGTTTTGAAACGTGATTATTAAAATTTGCATAAAATTTTATTTTCAATTTATTTATGTTTAAATTCGCATTTAATTTATATAAATACATACACATACTCTTAAATAGTAAATAAAAATATTATGTATATTTTTATTTATTTACTTTGTGAAAAAAAGGTGCTAATGCGGAAAAAGTTTTTTTTAACATTTAATGTTATGGAAATTTTTTTTTATAATTCATAATACACATACAAAGTCGTTCTAATGTTGTTGCTAGAAACCATATTTAAAATATAAATTTTAATATTAACAAAAAAACCCCGAAAACTGTCTAGAATAATTTAATTTAAAATTTAATAAATTTTATTTTAGAAAGTTGACAACTTTATGTTTTTTGTTTCCGTATGCTAAACATTTTGAGTTTGCAAGTTCATAGATGACAAATCCTTTAGATTTTTTATTATAAAATTTTGCTAAATTGTTTATGCATATTTGTTTAAACAATTATTATAACCGTTAATATGTTTATTATATTGAACTTGTTTTTTACGTCGATACTTTACAAGGAAAGTGAAACAAATAAAAAAAAAATCCCGCTGGTAATTAAACTTTTACAATGAAATGTTTGCTTTTATTATTATTTAAGTTTCCAAATTACTTTTCGAGACCTGTCATAAATATTATACATATTGTTTGCTTATTCGTAACTTGTAGAGTTAATTTAGAAATTCAATATTGACGTCACTACTTGCAACCGCATGGTTGAGTAATGTGGAATTTATTACCAGCAGATTATCTGATCTTAAAATTGACCACTTAACGTAATTGTCTAGACTTTTAGACGACATTTATGTCAAGTAAATCGTGTTTAATTGGTTTGAGAATTATTACTTTCTTGGAAGTTAAACGTCTAAAACATTTTTGTAGACAAAAGGAAACTTCGCGAAACTTTTGTGTACTCTACTGTCTTGTCTATAGCCTTGACGATAGAATAGACTATAGTCTAGTCTATAGTATAGTCTATGGTCTAGTCTATAGTCTAGTCTATAGTCTAGTCTATAGTCTAGTCTATGGTCTAGTCTATAGTCTAGTCTATGGTCTAGTCTATAGTCTAGTCTATGGTCTAGTTTATAGTATAGTCTATGGTCTAGTCTATAGTCTAGTCTATAGTGTAGTCTATAGTGTAGTCTATAGTCTAGTATATAGTCTAGTCTATAGTCTAGTCTATAGTCTAGCCTATAGTCTAGTCTATAGTGTAGTCTATAGTGTAGTCTATAGTCTAGTCTATAGTCTAGTCTATAGTCTAGTCAATAGTCTAGCCTATAGTCTAGTCTATAGTCTAGTCTATAGTCTAGTCTATGGTCTAGTCTATAGTCTAGTCTATGGTCTAGTTTATAGTATAGTCTATGGTCTAGTCTAGTCTAGTCTATAGTGTAGTCTATAGTGTAGTCTATAGTGTAGTCTATAGTCCAGTATATAGTCTAGTCTATAGTCTAGTCTATAGTCTAGTCTATAGTGTAGTCTATAGTGTAGTCTATAGTCTAGTCTATAGTCTAGTCTATAGTCTAGTCTATAGTCTAGTCTATAGTCTAGTCTATAGTCTAGTCTATAGTCTAGTCTATAGTCTAGTCTATAGTCTAGTCTATAGTCTAGTCTATAGTCTAGTCTATAGTCTAGTCTATAGTCTAGTCTATAGTCTAGTCTATAGTCTAGTCTATAGTCTAGTCTATAGTCTAGTCTATAGTTTAGTCTATAGTCTAGTCTATAGTCTAGTCTAGTCTATAGTCTATTCTATAGTCTAGTCTATAGTCTAGTCTGTAGTCTAGTCTATAGTCTAGTCTATAGTCTAGTCTATAGTCTAGTCTATAGTCTAGTCTATAGTCTAGTATATAGTCTAGTCTATAGTCTAGTCTATAGTCTAGTATATAGTCTAGTCTAGTCTATAGTCTAGTCTTTAATCTAGTCTATAGTCTAGTCTATAGTCTGGTCTATGGTATAGGCTATAGTCTGGTCTATAGTCTAGTCTATAGCCTAGTCTATAGCCTAGTCTATAGTCTAGTCTATAGTCTAGTCTTTAGTCTGGTCTATAGTCTAGTCTATAGTCTTGTCTATATTCTAGTCTAGTCTAGTCTATAGTCTAGTCTATAGTCTAGTCTATAGTCTAGTCTATAGTCTAGTCTATAGTCTAGTCTATAGTCTAGTCTATAGTCTAGTCTATAGTCTAGTCTATAGTCTAGTCTATAGTCTAGTCTATAGTCTAGTCTATAGTCTAGTCTATAGTCTAGTCTATAGTCTAGTCTATAGTCTAGTCAATAGTCTAGTCTATAGTCTAGTCTATAGTCTAGTCTATAGTCTAGTCTATAGTCTAGTCTATAGTCTAGTCTTTAGTTTAGTCTATAGTCTAGTCTTTAGTCTAGTCTTTAGTCTAGTCTATAGTCTAGTCTATAGTCTAGTCTATAGTCTAGTCTATAGTCTAGTCTATAGTCTAGTCTATAGTCTAGTCTATAGTCTAGTCTATAGTCTAGTCTATAGTCTAGTCTATAGTCTAGTCTATAGTCTAGTCTATAGTCTAGTCTATAGTCTAGTCTATAGTCTAGTCTATAGTCTAGTCTATAGTCTAGTCTATAGTCTAGTCTATAGTCTAGTCTATAGTCTAGTCTATAGTCTAGTCTATAGTCTAGTCTATAGTCTAGTCTATAGTCTAGTCTATAGTCTAGTCTATAGTCTAGTCTATAGTCTAGTCTATAGTCTAGTCTAT